CTGTTTGCCTGTGCTTTACTTATATTTTAAGAAATTGGTTGGGGACTTTGAGTGCAACCGATTCTAGTGTATTATAATTTTTATAGTATATTGTAATTTTTCCTATTTAAGATAATGGGGGAAGGGATTTGCACTATGATATCTGATTTTCAGGAATGGATTAGTCAAGTTAAGCAAGAAATAACTATGCAGCATTAGCATCTAAACCTTATGATACTTGAACGTAATACAGGAAAGCTACAGAACACACCTCACTTTAAAGTATCAATCCAAAAATCCTACATAAAATATTAACAAAGAGAATCTAACATCACATTAAAAAATAAATATAATAACCCAACGGGGTTTAAGATGCAAAGACAGTTCAATATCGGAGAATCACGACTATAAATCTTCACATTTAAGGGGAAAAAATGTATGATTTCTACAGATGACAAAGGGTGTCAGAAAAGTCAACATCTATTCCAGATAAAATACTTACTGATTTTACACACACACACACACACACACACACACACATCACACCTCCACAGATAAAATTCTGAGGAAGGGACTAATGGGTGCTGCCACCTGATCTCACACACATACCTCTACAGCCCGAAACCTCTGTAATCAGGCAAAATAACAATAAGAGGCCTAAAACTTGGAAAGTCTATATTTGCAGAAGTTCTGATAATATATTTGGGAAAAAAAAAAAAACAAAGAGAATCAATGTTAAAATTAATAAACAATTTGAGGATTCAGCAAAGGAATTGGATACAAAGTCAACACATAACTATCAAGAGCCTAGACTTCTGCTTCTAGCAGAAAGAACAGCAGGGACCGAATGAACCCTCCCACCTGCAACAGTTGAAGCACCAGGTGCCACCAGGATGAAAAGAAAAGCCACACCTGGGAGAGAGCATCTGCAAACCACATATGTAATAAAGGGCTGTATCCAAAAGATACAGAAAAATCTTAAAACGCAACAATTAGAAAACAAATAAACGAATTTAAAAAGTAGGCAGAAATGTCATTTCCCAGACCACAATAAAATTAAACTAGAAGTCAAAAACGGAAAGGTAATTGGAAAATCCAAAAATATGTAGAGATTAAACAACACACTTCTAAATAGCAAATGGGTCAAAAAAAGAAATTTCAAAAAAATTTTAAAAATATTTTTAACTAAATGAAAATGAAAACACAGCTTATCAAATTTTGTTGCGAAAGCAACACTTAAAGGGAAAAGTATAGCTTTGAATGCATATATCTGAAAAGAGGAAAGAACTAAAACCCATAATCTAAGCTTCCACTTTAGGAAATCAGAAAAAGAGCAAATTAAATCCAAAGTGAGCAGAAGAAAAAATAATAATAATTAGAGCAGAAATCAATAAAATTGAAAACAAGAAATCAATAGAAAAATTCAACGAAACGAAAAAAGAGAGAAAACACAAACTACTGATATCAGAAATGCAAGAGAAGACGTTGCCACAGACCCATGGACATCAGAAAGGAAATAAAGGGGCACTGCGGACAACTCCACATCCACAGGCTCGATAACCTGCATGAAGCGGACCGGTTCCTGGGAAGTACACGATTGGCCAAAACCCACACAAGAAGAAACAGACAAACTGAACAGGCCCGTGTCTACAAGAGAGACTGGATCAATAATTAACCAACTACCTTCTGAAACGGAGAGTGCCAGGCCCAGACGGGCTCGCTGGTGGATTCTACAGAGCACTTAAGGAAGAAATTCCGCCACTTCTCTACATCTCTTCCCAAAGACAGAAGCAGAGGGAACACTTCCCGACTCATTCTATGATGCCAGCATGACCCTGACAAGTCATTACAAGAACACTACAGACTGATATCTCTCGTGAACACAGATGTAAAATTTCACAACAAAACAGTAGCAAATTGAGTCAAAAAATGTGTTAAAGAATTATACACCACAACCAATTGGGACTCATCCCCAGTATGCAAGGCTGCTCCAGCATCTGAAAATCGACTGACGTAATCCATGACATCGACAAACCAAAAAAGAAAAATCCCACGATCACATGAATAGATGCAGAAAAGCATGTGACAAAATCCAGCACGCGTTCATCGTCAAAACTCTCGGAGAACTGTGAAATAAAACTTTCCCAACTTGGTTAAGACTAGCTATGAAAGACCCACCGCTGACGTCATACTTAAAGGCTGAAAACTCGAAGCTTGCCCACTGAGATGACGTAGGAGGATGTCCAGGATGTCCCCTCTCACCACGCCTTTTCAACACCGTGCACGAAGTCCTAGCTGATAAGACGAGAAAAGGAAATAAAAGGCATGTATACCGACTGGGACGGAAGACAAAAAACTGTCTCTGTCTCAGAAGACATGAAGCTCTACTTAGAAAATCCAAAGGATCGACCAGAAAACCTCCCGTGACTAATGAGCAGTTACAGCAAGGTCCCAGGGTACGAGGTCAATACGCGAACATCAATCGCCTTCCCACAGACCAGCAATGAACAGGTGGGACTTGAAATTCAAAGCACCATACCATCTGCATCAGCACCCAAAAATGAAATGCCTCGGTATAAATCTACCGAATACGCACGAGGTCTCTCTGAGGGAAACGGCCGAACCCTGACGGACGAAACCAAAGGAGAACGAGACAAATGGAGGGGCGCCCCGTGGTCGTGGCTACGGAGACTCCGTGTCGTCGCGACGTCGGTTCTTCCCGAGCGGATCTCCGGGTCCAGTGCGGCCTCAGTCAAAACCCCAGCCGTCACTTTGTGGACACCGGCAACACGGTTCTGAAGCCTACGTGGAGACGAGTCACAACCAACAACGAATCTCACTGTAGAGCTGAGTAATGAAGACGCTGCGGTGTTGCTGAAGCAGTGACAGAGAGATCGATGGGACAGAACAGAAAACCCCAAAACGGGCCCCCGTAAATACAGTCGACCGATTTTGACCTGAGAACAAAGACGATAAAACGGAGAAGAAAAATAACCTTCCAGCAAATGGTACCGGAGCAGCCGGGCATCCATGTGCGACAGCGAACCTGGACACAGACCTCACGCCCTTCAAAGGTTCACTCGAAATGGCTCATGAATGCAAGACGAGGAGTTACAGAACTCCTAGAAGACGACACAGGAGAAACCGACATGACCCTGGGTGTGGCGATGACCTCTGAGATACAGCACCAAAGGTAGGGTCCATGAAGCAATAATAGAGGAGCTAGATTTCATTAAAATGGAAAATTTCTGCTCTCTGAAAGACACTGTTAAGAGAACGAAGAGACAAGGCACAGACTGGGAGAAAATTCTGCAGAAGACGCATCTGATGAAAGACTGTTATCCGGAATGTACAAAGAACTCTTAAAACTCAACAATAAGAAAATAAGCAATCTAGTTTAAAAATGGGCCAAAGCTTCACTAGGTCCTCCATCAAAGATGAACAGAGATGCCCATCACGTGTCGTCAGGGACACGCACTAACCGACACCGTGACGCCGCTGCACACCCGCTGGCAGGGCCACTCTGCCAACAGCGAGCGCCGGGGAGGATGCGGGGCAGCGGACTCTCGCGCGTTGCTGTTGGAAATGCAAAATGGCACAGCCAGTCTGGTGCGTTTTTTACAAAATTAAACATATTCTTGCCACCTGACCCAGCCATCGCTCTCCTCGGTATCTACGCAAAGGAGACGAAAACTGTCCACGCAGGAACCCGCACACAGGGGTTCCAGCCGCCTTGTCCCTAACTGCCGACATGTGGAGGCAACCCAGACGTTCTCCAGGAGGTGACGGATGAACTGCGGCCCATCCAGACGGTGGAACGTCATGCAGTGAAAAGACACGAGCCGTCCCGCCACGAAAACCTGGAGGAAGCTTAAATGCACACTGGTACGTGAGGAGCGCCCCTGAGGAGGCCGCATGCTGTGTGCGTCCAACTACACGACATCCTGGAAAAGGCACGACTATGAGACAGTGAAAAGGTCAAGTTCTGCCAGGAGGTGGGGATGAGGGGCCACACCCAGACCCTGTGAATGAAAGCTGGGCAGGGTTGCTGGGTTTGTCCTTAAGCTAGCCCAGAGCGACTGTGGGACAGACTCGCTGGTCCCACAGGAGAACAGAATGGCCCCGGGAACCCTCTCCCAAGGAGGCAGGAGACGGGGCTGGGCGGCGAGGCAGGCCTCCACCGCCAGGCCCCGGGGAGAGCGCCCGAGCGAGAGCAGGGGTGCAGTGTCTGCTGTGGACGCGTCTGCAGACACAGGCAGGTGTGTGGCCGCATGGGGCCTGCGTGAGACAAATCTTCATCCGGCATTCCGCGTCAGGGCGGCTTCTGGGGCCTGTTCCCTCTCCCCCTGGAGTATTTTCTATACCCTTGGGGCTCACACACACCCATATATCTTTTGCGTATGTGAAGGACCTGTGTTTGTCACCTGCAGGTCTCGTCCTCCTGGGCAAAGTGACTTGAAAACAGGCGTAGCATCTGTTCGGCTGCACGCTAGCGCCTCACACTGTCGGTCATGGAGTAGCTGCCCAGGCAGGGACACCAGTGAGTGAGAAGGAAGGAGGGAGCTCGGCAGAGGCCCGGGGACCTGGGAGCAGGGCGTGTGCTGGCTGGGAAGACCACCATCCTGACGGCCTCCTCCCTGCCCACCGGTGGAGCCTGCAACAGCCCACAGCGACTTCCCTGCAGCCCTGTGCACTCTGTGCTCGGCCTTCCTGACGAGGCGGCCCAGGAGGGCAGGCCTGGCCCTGCGCCTGGGCTGAGTCTCGGCCACCCCAGCAGTGCGCTGGGTGCTTCTCTGGTAACTTGTAGAGATTTTTGGAAGTAAGGCACACAGAGCTCAGATGACAGGTAGCAGTGACAGTGCTGCCCTCGGGCACGGGAAGCGAGGGCCATCAAGGCACGGATGCTGACAGCAAACGGCTTTCTCCCCAGCTGGGGACAACTCGCAGGCAGGCTCTGTTTCCAAGCAGCTGCTGAGGACAGGAGAGGGGAGAGCAAACGGCCACGCACAGGAAATACTCACTGGGGACAACTGTGCCCTCGGCGGGGGGGCCGGTCGGCACCGCTGGGACGTGCGCAGGGGCACCGGGGTCTGTGGGCTGGCTGCCCATCCGAGTGACGTTCCGCTGGTTGTCTGCGTCCTCCGGCTGCTCCTCCGCCTTCTGCGGACAGGTGCTGGGCAGCGAGTGCACGGGGCCCACGGCCATCGCCCCGCTGTCCCCCAGGTCCCCGCATGGCTCCCTGCAACCAAGAAGGCACACGCTCTGCTGCAGCCGCCAGGTCCCCATCGGTCCACGGAACCAGCTCCCCAAACCTGTGCAGTCACTGAGGCCCCCACCACCTCCTCTGCTTCTCTGGTATCTCGCACGGCTTCTCGTCACCTGCGCACTTCTGTGTCTTCACTGTCACCACAGGCTGACTCACTGTGCGTCCCTGGCACAAGGCCAGGCGCAGCTCGCAGTTAGTGTGTGGAACGGAGCCGTGTGTAGGGTGAGGAAGCTGGGGGGTGTTCTCAGCCACCCCAGCCAGCCGCAGCCGGAGCCAGCACAGAGCCCGCAGGGAGGCGGTGTGGAAGCCACACTGGCCCTGTGCGCCGGCCTCGGGCAGCCTGGGTGGCTCTGAGGCTTTGTGGCCGGTCAGCGAGCGTGGACACTGCTGGCCTGGGCCTGCGGGCTCCTGCTACCCCAGGACTGTCCCAGTCAGGTCCTACCCCAGCAGGAGCAGGTCAGCCTGGCCTGAGGGGTCCTTTGCGTCAGGGCCAGGCAGCCGGGACCCTCCCTCTCGACCCTCAGTCTCGGGCTTCCCACAGGCTCCCACAGGCTCCCTGTAACTCCCCACCCAGGGCTCCCCAAGACTCTTTTCTCCTTGGGCTACTTTGTTCTTCCCAAGTCCGTGTGTCCCAAACCAGTACCAACAACTTTCCCCCAAGTCTCGTGCCCCTTCTGGAAGCCTCAACATGAGGCTGACAGTCACTGAGCGTCTACTCCCTGCCCTGCAGTCCTAAGCATTTTACGTGCCACCTCAATGAAGCAGGACTGTCACCACCCAGAGGGAGACTTGCAGGGGTAGCCCAGCCTGCACCCTCTCACTGTGGATACTGCCCAGCAGCCACAGGGGGCCAGCCACCCCTCCAGGCCCGCACATGTCCCCACTGCCACGTCCACTCACTTAGGATGGTGGTTCCGGAGTTCCTTGTCCCTGTCCCTGTCCTGGGTCTCCCCCTCCTTCTCCTCTGCCTCCTTCTCCACGTCCTCATGTGTTGGTGGTG